TGTTGCAAAAGCTGTTTAATATTTCTTAAAGATTATAAGTTGCATTTAATAAATTATTTTAACTGAGATACTTTAAAGTTTTTAATCCTTTCCACAAGTGAAAGAAGCAAATATTAGAAAATATCTCCAACCAAATTATGTTTGCTATTTCATTTTCTCTTTCTCTTGCTCGTGTATTAAAACAATTATAATTGGATAATTATAACATAATTAAAAAAATTATGGTAACCAGTGTACCAAGATGAATTAAATTCGTCTTGGAGCTATGATGATAATTGATGCACCATTTTGAATAGTTATTAACAATGTTTTCATTTTTATAGGACACCAAACCCGGCAAAGAATTGGATTATCTTCTTGCAAGAGCCAATTCGTGGAGCGGAAAACCAGTTTACATCGAACTCTGGGTATATTATAATTATTGGCAACACGATTTCTTATTCGCTTCTATGGCCCACAAAAAATTGCAGATTATCTTTACAGCAACCGAAGGAGTTGTTTACTATAAGGCAACGACAAACACCCACGCAGACGCGAGGAGTGATTACTCTGATCGGGGAATTAGATTTCGAAACACAGTCCGTGTACACGCTGACCATGTATGCTACGGTACGAAAAGTTTATACTTTCGGCACAATTACTTTCGTACAACTTTCATATATATTATGTTGGGCTTGTGCAGAAGTTTTAATGGTTTTCATGATATTTCGTAATTATTTCTAAGCTGGTTGGTCACCGCAAATGTAAACTGAGCAAGGAGTTCAATTAATGGCTGCTGATCAAAATCAACCGAAATTTTACAATTAACAAAGTGTTTCGTGTCGGTGGCATTTTCATTTCGAAACAGTCTTTTAGCGAATATTTTAATTAATTGTGGTGAATTAATTTTATGAATGAATGGATGAATTAATTTTATGAATTTTTTAATTGGGAAATAATTGCAATATATTTTTAAACTTCAAACATAAAAATTCAAAACTGTAATTCTAATTGTTATGAAAACAAATATAACTGTCAAATTATCAAATGGATTACTTGCCTAGCATAGAGTATTGCGTAAAATTGAAACTATGGCACACACCTAATCTATTAGGTGTATTAATAATAATGTTAAACATGTATTAATGCACTGTATTTATTGTACATTATGTCAAGAAAATTCAATTTAATAGGATCCCTATACAGAGCCTGGAAAGGATACCAGAAATATTGCTGGCCTAAATGTGGTTGTTATAGTCACAGATGTACAAGATGTTCCACCAATTTTCACATTAGCGCCACCTCTCACGAGAATTAACAATTCTGTGCAACCTGTAAGTATCTAGAAGCTACTTTATTATTTTTCTATAAATTATTTTCTATTACAAGGTCGACAGTTCAAAGTCTCTTGAAAAAAACAATACAAACAGTCAACTATTTTTATTTAAATAGATTTATATTATGTCGTATTAATTCTATTATATACTAATCGTATAATATGTTCGTACAATATAGTAATATTAATAGAATAATATAATATATTAATGTATTATACAATATAACATATTCTATTCTATTAATTCTGTTTTATTAAATTAATGTATTATATAATTATATATAATTATAATATATTACAATATATTATAATATTATTATATATATTATAATATTATTATATTATATAAAATATTGTAGTAATATTATATTAATCAGTCTAACCACATTCATCACTCTCACAATTATTATTTTATCTTTTAATCTTAACAATATTATTCTAGTCAATCAATTTTC